GGGCGCGGGGACACGACCCACGGTCGACTACGTGGGAGTCCAGCGACATAGCCATTACGCTAACTGCTGGTTCCCAAGACAAATACCCCTTTAAAGAGGTAGAGATATAATTAGAATTCATGCATTTTTAAAATTATTTAATTTTATTTATTATTTTTCTTCAATTTGACCAGAGCGAGACAGAGCATGAGAGGGAGAGTGAGAAAGCAAGCTGCCAAGTCTGGGACTTGAACAGTGGTTGGCCATGTGGGAGTATAGTGCCCCAGCCACCATGCCATCTGCTGACCCCAAGTTTATTTTTAGTGACAAAAAGCACAGTAATAATAGTTAATGAGATTTCTTAAAATTTGTTGATGCCCTTCTTTTTTTAAATAATTATTTTATTTAGCTTTTTGTTTTTATTTTGACAAGAGAAGGAGAGAGGGATGGGAGAGAGAGGAGAGAGAGAGAGAAAGCAAGCCAGCCACCAGGTCCAGGACTTGAACTGCAGCTGGCTAGGTGGGTGTCCAGTGCCCTTATCTACCACGCCACCTGCTGGTACTCCTGTTGATTCCTTTTTAAAGGAATTCTTTGCTCCAGAAAAAAATCTAATTTGGTCGTTGACTCACAGTTACTCTTTGATCCACATATCTTCATGTAGGGAGAGAGGCACGTCATCTGCGCCAGTGTATATAGGAGAATCTAGGACAGACCTATCCAGTAACTTAACCAGTCCCTGCTCGGGTTACCATCACCTGCCTGTCTGACAGGTGGCTGCGTAGACTGTATATAGTCAGTCATGGTCTTCTCTCACTTGTAGCTTGTTTTTGCTGCTTGCTTGCTTGCTTTTTTTTTTTTTTTTTTTTTAAAGGGAGATATTTTTGCTATAGGGTATGTGCACTCACCAAAGAGAGAGAGAAAGCAAGAAATCATCCCTTAGGATGGCCACACTGCAGTCCTTTCTTCTCCGCTCCTTAGATCTTGGGAATGCAGGCACGTGCACACCGTATTAAGTGTCCAAGCCACTGGGTCTGGGACTTGAACTACCTTGGCCATGTGGGAGTCCAACTCCTTAACTACTCTGCCTCTTGCTGGCCCCGCTTCTTCCTCTAATAGGATGGAAATCACTTTTACTCCCAAAGTAGTAGATTGAACGAGCTGGAATCTTCTGTCAAAATAGAAAAACTGGACTAGCAGTTAATGGCTATGTCGCTGGACTCCCATATAGTTGACTGCGGTTCGCTGGGCGCATGTGCGTTCGTGCCCAAGATCCTGAGAGGAGAATGGAGGAGAAGGGATTGCGGTGTGGCCATCCCCCTCAGGGAGTGATTTTTCGCTTTCTGCCTCTCTCTTCCTGGTGAGCGCACACGCCCTATAGCAAAAACTTCTCCAAAGAAAAGAAAAACAAGTAGCTGCTTTTATAGTTCCACATTTGGGATGGTGTATCTAGACATTGGCTAGAAGTTACAATTTTTGCTTTCCTGGAACAGATACAGACAAGTGCCAGCCATTTTTCACACAGAACTTGTGGGCTTATGGGTCAGCTCCATGGTGGTTAAGGCAATTGGATCCCACATAAAGGACTCTGTGGTTCAAGGCCTGGCCCTGGTGGCTTGGGCACATGTGCATGCATGCCCAAAATCCCTAAGAAAGGGAGAGGTGGAGGAGAAGGGATTGTGGTGTGACCATTCCCTGTGAGGAATACTTCCCCCTCCCTTTCTCTTTCTCTTTGTCTGTATATCTGGTGAGTGCACATGCCCTCTGGCAAAATTAAAACAAAAACAGAAACAAACTTGTGCTATCACATGTTGCCTTTCATTATTTTTTAAAAATTAATTTTATTTATTATTATTTTTTAATTTGACAGAAAGTGAGAAGGCAAGCCACCAGGTATAGGACTCAGTCTATGGTTGGCCATGTGAGAGTCCAGCACCTTAACCACCATGCCATCTGCCGGCCCTGCCTTTCATTACTTTTTTAAAAAGTAACTGTAGGGACTAGCAGTTGGTGTAATGGCTATGGCGCTAGACTCCCGTATAGTCTACCATGGTTCGAGTCCTGGACCCGGTGGCTTAAATTCATGCCGGACATGTGTGTGTGCGTGCCCAGGATCCCAAGAGGAGAAGGGGAAGGGACTGTGATATAGCCAACCCTACCTGAGGGGTGATTTCTCATTTTCTGTCTCTCTCTGCCTTTCTGGCAAGCGCATGTGCCCTATAGCAAAAACCTGTCCAAAAAAAAAAGTAGCTATATTGGGGGCAGCAGTTGGCATGGTGTTTGGGGTGCTAGACTCCCACATGACTGACCACAGTTCAAGTCCCGGACCTGTTGGCTTGCTTTCTTGCTTTCTCTCTTCCTCTGTCCCTCTCCCTCTGACAACTATAGCATGTTAAGATGATAATAATAATAATAAATAAAATAATTATTTTTTAAAAAGAAACTATGTTTAGGAGTTCATATTTACTTCACCACTAAACATCCCGCAAACATCCTCCACCACTTGGCCGAACATAACTTCTGTTTTTCTTCTTTAAAATTCTTGTGTTGTGAACTGAGCTTGGGTGAAATGAGATCTTTGAGGTAAGGCAGCCCAACTCACATGATAAAAATGGAAAGAAAGCTTGTGAAATTTGGGATCCTTTAGAGGTACAGTGTTAAGAGTCGCTGCCTAAATACTGAAATGCCACCATTTGTCGTTGAGGGTTGTGTGGCTAAATTGAGAGCAGGAGCACACATCTGCCTTGACTGCTAAGTATACCATCTCACGCTCACCCGCAGTGGCGGCGTTTTGTGCGTACTTTAGTCCTAGTTTGAGCAGTAGTTTGAAGGAGAAAAAAAGACAATGAAGAGGCTTAGTCTGCATTCCTCTGTCCTCCCCTTAGATGTTGGTTTTGTTCTTTTTCATTATCACTGTGGTGTTTGTTTTTTGTTTCTTTAGAAAGTGAGCAGAGAACTGAAAAGATGCTATTTCCTTACACGTTATCAAGAGGCAGATATTACTATTCTGGCAAATTAATATTCAGAGTAACAAAGTTTTGCTAGTGCCACCTAATGTTACCTAATCAAAGATTTTTAAAGTTCTTCCCCGGATGAAGAGCCATTAGATCAGTAGCACACTGTGCTCATGACACTGTCAAGAAGACATGGTTGGTCTAGTGTGTAGGCAGTTGCATGTGAGTGGTAAGTTTCTGGTACCTAGTTCTTTAACCAGCTCTTTCCTAGCTAGCCTCTGATTGCCTTACCTACTGTTCCTCTTAAAAAAAAAAAAAAAATATATATATATATATAGGTATCTCTCAAAAAAAAAAATGAAAAAAAAAAGCAGACAAACTGGGTTTTATCAACATTTATTTATTTAACTTTATTTAGTTATTTATTTCTAAGTTGACCCAGGTCAGGGGTAGAAAGAGAGAAAGTGAGAAAGCAAGCCGCCAGGTTCGGTCAGCCATGTTGGGAGTCCAGTGCCCTTAACCACCACGCCATCTCCTGGCCCCAGCTACTATTCCTCTTTATGTGACTTTTCTAAGGTCAGTTTAGATGTAAACACTGTTCATTGCTGTCTTTGGCACTTGGAAACAAATTTAGAACAAAGGCAACCTAGTAACCTAGTTTTTTTTTGTTTTGTTTTTTTTTTTTTTTTTAAATGGTTTTCAGACCACAATTTGAGTTTTGTTTCCTTTAGGTGGTTTCATGCTTTGGGACATCTCAAAAACTTATTTGCAGCAAGGAGTTTGGAGGATGTGAAACAAGTTTGTGTTTCTTCTGCTCTGTTGGCCACTGCTATCTTCATGGATCTGACACACTATTTATCTGACAGTGCACTTCGTACTGCTTCGCCAGGGAAAATCACACAAAACAAGCCTGGCGCATCAGCACTTTCATTGTGTGCTGGGCTGAGCCTCCCTTCACATGGTCACATCCCCATTCGAATCCAGAGCTCCCTTTCCCTGCCCCTTCCCCAGTCCTGCCTCTCTCTCTGTGGCCCTTACTGCTGGTTTCCCTGAGCTCCTGTTTCCATTTTGTGTTTTTTTGTGGGGCCTAGGAAGCTAAAGTTGTTTGTATTTGTGGATCATACAAGTGCAGCAAGTTAGGATCATTGACTTCTGAGGAGAGAGTGAGGTGATGGCCGCGTTTAAATTGGATTTCCTTCCAGAAATGATGGTGGATCATTGCTCTTTGAATTCCAGTCCTGTGTAAGTATTTCTGTTGTCTAATTTTTATTATAAGCAGAGGAAGTGAACTACTGGGATTTGATGAAACTGGTACCTTTCCTTAAAAGAGCGAAGAACAAAAAATAGCGCAAGGAAGCCAAAGTCTTTCTGTTGTCTGACCGTAGTCCAACTCTGTCTCGTCACTGCTGGCTTCCTCTAGCCCATAACTAAGTTCTTTACATGAGGGTGCACTGGCTACATGACCAGCAGCAGCAGTTCCTGGTGCCTTCCTGTGTCACAGGTTCTAGCTATTTTTGTTTTAAGCTCTTGCTTTATTCCTTTGGGTTGAGTATACAGTTTTAAATCATCTTTTGGGAAAGAATGTTTCTTTATTTTCAGTTGTCAAATTCTTGTGTCACGGAGGAGACTAGTAATTAGGTTGTATTTATTGCAGCCTTCTTTATTGACATGCATAGTATAATTCTAGGCCTTAATTTTTTTTCTTCCCCATTGTAATCGAAAATGCAGTTTGGCACATGATTTTAGGAACATCAGATTGCCCTCCACCTTCATAACCCCTCAAGGAATACTGGATCAGGCTTGATTAGCAGTTTGTCCTGGGACCAGCAGTTAGCATAATGGCTATGTCGCTGGAATGGCTATGTCGCTGGACTCCCACGTAGTTGACCGCGGTTCACGTCCCAGACCCGATGGCTTAAACTCACGCTGGGCGTGTGTGCGTGTGTGCCCAAGATCCCGAGAGGAGAATGGAGGAGAAGGAATTGCGGTGTGGCCATCCCCCCTGGGGGTGATTTCTCACTTTCTATCTCTCTGTCTCTCTCTGGTGAGCGCACGCGCCCTATAGCAAAAACTTCTCAAAAAAAAAAAAAAAAACAGTTTGCCCAAATGAATTGTGAACGTGGGAATGAGAAAGAACCCTTGGAAGCTGCGGTGCTGTGTAAGAACTGCTGTTATACACAGCTAAGTGCCAACGCCACCTGGAGTTGGAGTTACAGGGACCTTGCGTTGTGGACTTTACAGCCCCGAATTTCAGTCGCTTTAACCAGGCTTTAAAGTGTCTTGAACCTTCAAGCAAATGAGCCCTTGGATTATTCAAAGCCAAGAATATTAAATGGTAGAATTTCCCTCCGTAACAGGTGTTAAATCAAGTCTTTGAGGTTATTGCCTCCATGTGCAAGTCAGTCCTGGGGTTGAATGTAACAGGTGTGGATAATGACTAGTACTGAATGCTTTGTGGAAGAGTTCGGGGGCATTCAAAGTTAGCCATCTTTCTCTTGAAATGCATTTCATGTAGTCTCTTCAGTATCAAGACTATGATATTTTAGATAAGTCTTTTTGTGAGAGTGCAGTACTATAATTTTATTTCAGCACTAGATAACAGGTGACATTACAGTAAATATCACCATAAAGATGATAGATGTGGGGAAGCAGCAGTTAGCGTAATGGCTATGTCGCTGGACTCCCACGTAGTCGACCGCGGTTCGTGTCCCGGACCCGGTGGCTTAAAACTCATGCCGGGCGCGTGTGTGTGCGTGTCCAAGATCCCGAGAGGAGAATGGAGGAGAAGGGATTGCGGCGTGACCATCCCCCCTGGGGGGTGATTTCTCGCTTTCTGTCTCTATGTCTCTCTCTGTCTGTCTGGCGAGCGCACGCGCCCTACAGTGAAAATCTCTCCAAAAAAAAAAAAAAAGATGATAGATGTGTCTACACTTTGGCGCAGGCACTATGTAGAGTTGGGGGTCTCACGTTGCCTGGCTGGGGGTTGTTTGTTTGTTTGTTTTTGAGAGTTTTTTGCTATAGGGCGCGTACACTCGCCAGACAGACAGAGACAGACAGAGAGATAGAAAGCGAGAAATCACCCCCAAGGGGGGATGGCCACGCCACAATCCCTTCTCGTCCATTCTTCTCTTGGGATCTTGGGCACACGCGCCCGGCGTGAGTTTAAGCCTGCCGGGTTCGTGACTTGAACCGCGGTCGACTACATGGGAGTCCAGCAATATAGCCATTATGCTAACTGCTGGTCCCAGGGGTTGTTTTTTTAAAGTTTTTGCTATAGAGCTAATTTGTTCACTGGAGAGACAGAGAAAGAGGGGAAATGAGAAATCATCCTCTGGGGAATGGCTACACCACAGTCCCTTCACCATTCTCTCAGGATATTGGGTACTCTCACACACATGCCTGGCATGTTTTCCAAGCCTCCAGGTCCAAAACTCAATCTGCGGAGTTAGCCGTGTGGGATCTAGCTGCCTTAACCACCCCACCACCTGACAGGGTTTTGAATCCCTTTTCTGTAGGGGTATGAGGGTGTCACCAGGCTGTTGCAGGTACTGCGGTCACACTCGCTCACTCTCATTTCTTCCCTCTTCCATTAAAAAAGAAAAGATTTAATATGCAGTTATTAATCTCATATCCCAGATATGATCCGTGACTCAAATTATCTTGATTGTAACATTTCCTCTCTATATTTTGCCAGTGCCTAGTGTTCAGTCCTTAGACACAGCATTTGCATTTCTCTCAATCTGTTTGCCCATCTTTTAAAGGTATTTTTTTGGACCAGTAGATAGCATAATGGTTACATTGCTGGACTCTCACAGTTGACTGTGGTTCTGGTCCTAGACCTGACGGCTTAAAACTTGGGAACCAGCAGTTAGCATAATGGCTATGTCGTTGGACTCCCACGTAATCAACTGCGGTTCATGTCCCGGACCCAGTGACTTAAATTCATGCCGGGCGCGTGTGCGTGTGTGCCCAAGATCCTGAGAGGAGAATGGAGGAGAAGGGATTGCGGCATGACCATCCCCCCTGGGGGGTGATTTTTCGCTTTCTGTCTCTCTGTCTCTGTCTGTCTGGTGAGCGCTTGCGCCCTATAGCGAAAACATCTCCCCCCCCCAAAAAAAAAAAAAAAAAAAAAAAACTCAAACCAGGCACATGTGCTTTCATGCCCAAAATCCCAAGAGGAGAATTGAGGAGAAGGGATTGCAAAGTGGCCATCTCCCCCCCCTCCCCCCCGGGAGGGGCGATTTCTCGCTTTCTGTCTCTCTTTCTCTCAATAATTTATTGATTGTGATAGGTTGTATGCACTCACCAGAGAGAGATGACAGGGTGAGGTAGGGGAAGTGAAGAAGGTACCCCCTGGGGAGGGATGGGCTCATCACAGTCCCTTCTTTAATCTCCTCTCAGGATTTGGGGCACACAACAAGCATCTGGTATGTTAATCGAGTTGCTGGGTCCAAGACTCCAACCCTATAGTCAGCTATTTGGGATCTACCTGCCTTAACTACCATGCCACTGGCTGTCCTGTGTTTTCCCATTTTTTAAAAGGTTAGACTAACTTAGTATCCCATGAAATCTGGATCATGGGTTACTACATGAAGGTCACTTGGGACATAAAAATCCAGATGTTCTTATGCTAGAGATTGTCCAAGACTGCATTTTTCCCCCCTTAATTGCCAGAGCAGAGCATGCACTTACTAGAAAGAGAGGGAGGGAGGAAGCGAGGGAGGGAGAGCAAGCAGATGACACAGAAGTTGTGTTGACTGGATCCCACATGGCCCACAGTGTGTGGTTTGGGTGAAAAAACATACCAGGCACTTCTGTGTATGTACACAGAATTCCAAGAGGAGAATGGAAGAGAGGAGATTGTGGTGTGGCCACCCGTGCCCCCCAGGAGGGGTGATTTCTTTCTCTTTTTTTCCTTCTGGTGAGTACACATGTCCTATAGCAAACAAAAGAAAGAGAGAGGGAGAAAAAGCACCTCCCAGTGGGATGTGGTCATGCTGCAGTGATTTTTCTTCCATTTCTCCATCCCATAGGATTTTGTGCATGCACACATGTGTACCTATCAGATTTCTCAAGCCTCTGGAGCTGGGACCTGAGCCACAGTTGGCCATGTGGGATCTCCTCCCAGTGTACAGCACTTTAATCCCTGTACTGTGGGGTCAGCTCTGAGGCTGTTTTGGTGTTTTTTGTTTGTGTGTGTGTGTGTGTGTGTGTGTGTGTGTGTGTGTGTGTGTGTGTTTGGTGGTTTTTTGCTATGGGGTGCATGTGCTCACCAAAGACAGAGGGAAAGTGAAGAAGCACACTCCCCTCCCCCCCAAGGATAGTGACATTGTAGTCCTCCTCTATTCTATTCTCCTCTTGGGATTTTGGACAATCCTGCGAGCCTGCAGCCAGCATGCTTTTCTAGCCTCTGGGCCCAGGACTCGAACAGCTGGCTATGTGGGATCCAGATGCCTTAACTACCATGCCCTTTGTTGACACCCCAAGACTTTTTATTTATTTTAAAGAGTTATTTCTTATTTTTTAATTTGACTGGCAGGGTGGGAGGGGATGAGAAAGCAAGCCGCCAGGTCCAGAACTTGAACCATGGCTGGCCATGTGGATTCCAGCACCTGCATACTAAAGTTTGAGAGCAGATGAACGTAGTATAGGTCGTCCTGAGAATTAATCCAGGAGTGAAGTGTGTCATCATTTTTTCCCCAAGTGCAGTTGTGTCTGTTTTAGTCATCCATCTTCTCCAAAGCTTTAAGTCTAACTAGACATACACTATTGTCTCTGTTTTACAAATGAGAAACTCAGTTAACAGAGGCTATATATGACCTGGCTGAGGACAGTTGGTGTCAGTCTTGGGCCTGAAGTATAAGTTTAATGATACCCTCTTTTTATTTTTGTCCACTAGAGTGGGCTGCTGCAGATTTCAGTAAGCAGTTACCCATCAACTTTTCCCATTGTTGCAGGCCCTGGGCCCAGTCCCATAGGCCCCATATGCCAGAATACCACGGATAGTAAGGGGCTTGGAAGAAGTTCTTGAGACTGGTGTGTGCTTGCAGCCCTCCTATACACTCTTCAGTGAATCACTATTTTAAGAAGAGGCTTGCCATCACTGGTTTTCTTAGTGAAGTGATTTTGCCTGGGTACATTATCTAATCACATATCTTATTTCAAAATTTCTTTATAACAGACAAGAGAAGTGATGGAGTTGCTCGGGAAGGGCCAGGATACCTAGGTCCTAGTTCCTGTTC